TGGTAATTACATATTTCTTTTTTTTTTTAATATTTGTTGCCGAACAAAAGGCGTAGATTGATCAAGAGAATTTGGGAATGAACGGGAATTTGCCCCAAAAGCGAAAATTTGTTCAGTAAACATAAAACTTAATTTTTTAAGTTGGATTTGTGAAGAACACATACTTAGTTAAACCGCATTGAGACCTCGAAGAAATCTGATATTTTGATTGGTAACATTATGTGGCGTGGTTTCATTATTTAGCAGTTTTGTTTTACATACATAAATATGTACGGTTATGATCTATTGTCGATAATAATAAATATTTGACGTCATGCAACATGTACTATATTGTTTTGTTTTAATTACGTATGTTATGCTTTCTGCTGACCATTACCGATAGCCACCATTCGTATTAAAAACAACCATCCGGGTTACTTCGGTTTCTACATCATAATATCCATCCTAAACGGCTTAGTCTTTTCCACGAAACGAAACGAAACGAAATAAAACTATATCAAATTTGTTAACGACATTGAAAATCGCCACGTCATAGAAATAAATTTCTCGAGAAGATTTAGTATGCAGCTCAATAAATACGAGTAACTAACATGACAGCTCAATAAATAAATACGAGTAACTATAACATGGCATGACCGCCATTTCGATTGACAAAACATGGAACGACCCAAATAACTTAAAACTAGCCAAAAACAAGCCAAACGGATAAAAAATGAGCCAAATGAGTGACAAACGAACCAAAATTGGGCACAAAATCAAAAAGGTGAGCGGTCAGCCATTTTTGAAAGGATACTTTGAACTGGCAGTTGGAGACGCTGTTCCCATCTCGCAAATTAGTCGATGTCTCAGAAGAAGTCAACACAAGTAAATAAATCAAAAATCGTAATGAATATATGCACGTAAGCAAATAATAAAATGATAAAGACACTAATACACAATTATAATACATCATTAAATAATAAATTGGTCCATGGCTAACCTAAGTTTTCCAAAAACTATTAATATTTGGTTTGTGGCGTTATTTCAATGACTTACTTAGCAGTGAGCAATTTAGATTCAGAGTTTAGCTGTAATTTTCAAAGCTTTGCCTGTAGTTGTGACAATTGATTTAAAAAAGGGGGATTTTGAAATTGGAGGCTAAAAAAAACTACTTTTATGTTTAGAAAGAACTCCCTGCGTGCGGGAGCCAATGCAGCCAAAAACCGTTCTCGCATGAATGATACGTCACAATTCAACAAGCAACGCTCATAATATCGCCCATTCTTCCAAAAACTGTAATTTATATCATGAAATCTAGGATACCCCGCCACGTATAAAAGATGTTTTATGTCATTCCCTTTAATTTCGATAAACACTAGCTGTAAACATTATGTGAATGAGCATAGTGGGCCCTCTTCTGGGAATATCCAATGCCACATAATTAAAGCATTTTACTGAGGCACAAAGTATATGTATGGTGTAACCTTTCCTGCATTACATTGTCCCAAATATATTATATAACAGGACACATATATTGGTTGACGTTGACTGTATCTGTTCAGTATGTGTAATGCAATGTGGATAAAGTTACGTATATATGTTACCAACAGACACATTTAAGGTGCCCTACATTAACAATAATGGGTGTTATTGTATTATTTGTGACGTCACACTTACCACGGTAACTATGTCACTACCCTATTGGAAACACATTAGGTTAAAGTTTGTAGTTGCTGCATTGCATAGAAAAAATCACAATATTTGTAAAGTAATTTAATTCAAGCACGCACTGAATACGTCATACAATTTACTTTCAGGGAAACGCGATATAGGGCATAAATCTTAGAAATCAGAGTACACATCAGATACGAAATTCACGTAATGCCACACGTCAGTCGCACCCTCAAGTAATATTGTTATGTTAAATACCAGAATACCTTGTGATCCGAATTGATTGTGTTGATACTAAAGCCTACAATCGTTGTTTTATCGTTATTTTCTTTACTTAGATCACCTGTTTTGTCTCGAGGACTTAGTGGCTAGTTCGTCTTAGTTGTGCTGCTTGAATGGAATGATCACTGTGACATTTGATCTATATAATTCACCACGACGTGGAAATTAATCAATGGAAATTAAATAATTACCAGTTTCAAAAATAACATTACCACTGGAGTTATGTAGCCTGTGGTAATGAAACTGTTCTACGTGTCATGTGACGTATTATGCACAGCACGAAATGCGTCATTCACAATATGGGTGAATGACGTTTTATTGGGGTGAAGATACCATCTTCATCCTTGTTTTCCCTACTTCGTCATATAGTGAACTAGTGGTTCACCTAATGTTCAACTGTGGTATTATAGAGGATTTGTCCACACCTTTAGTCTATTGTATCTCAAGTCTGAATGACTGTACTATTACAATGTTTTACATAATTATTACAAAGTTTAATTGATCATCATCACATCATTAGGCCACGTTGTCTATACCGAACTATTAATTTAAACAGCCACATTTTACCATATTCATCC